GCAACCTTCCCAACGGCCCTTAGAAACATTGAGTGTAGCGCCAGAGCTGGTCGGGTTCAAGGTGAACTTGGCTGTGCCCGACACGCCGGTTGTGCTCTTTGGCGCACCGCCGCATTTCTGGATCGAACCCTGGATACCACCACAGATGGCGAGAGTGGCAACGTTCATGTCGTGGGTGTCGATTTTGCTGCAACCTCGCGTTAGTCTTACACGTCACTGCTTGTTATCAAATAAGTAGTACTTACGCAGCCTTGTCGGTGCAAGTGGTGTCCTTGACGGCGGCAGGATTGACGTCCTTGTTGGCGCGAATCTCCAAAGCAGCGTCGTTGAGGGCAGGGGCGGGGACAGCTATGGCGAGGCCAGAGAGAGCCAACAGGCTTGCGGCGAAAGTAGACACTAGCATATTGGGTTGTTTTGGTTTAATGATTTAATACGGTTGAAAATAGAGTTATTTTGACAGAAGAAAGTGGAGTCGCAGCTTTGGGCCTGCCAAGAGTAGAATGAACAAACAAGATAGATTGGCACCTTCTGGCCAAGACTACGGGAGCAAGCAAACTAATAAATCTGAAATCGGAATGTTGAGCCGGGTACTTTGTGTGGATGCAGGGCTGCCAGAGCATGATCGGCAGGCCCGTCTGATCGTGTGAAGTGGTGTTCCATCAAGGAATCGTCTGAGACGGGAACAGTTTCGACTGACCCTTTTTTGGACATGCGACGAACGGTGGTTGCCGGTGGAGTTGGTGGTGAGCTGCCGCACTACCGAGTCGCTTATCCTATCACCCTAGCGATACGAGAGAATAAAACGGGCAGTATCCCCCTTTGCTGTCTCAAATCTTGCGCAAGTTTCGTGCTTTCCACCTTCACCCCGCTCGCTGGATCGCGCGGCCTCCATGAAGCGGGCAGGTGATTTGGGCGCACCAGCCATATAATGGCACGGCGTATTGCGTGGCTTTGGCCGGTTAAGCTTTGTCGGGCTCGCAAGTTTTGGTATTCACCACATGGTCGAGAAACTTCTCACGATGTTGTCTTATCAGAGTTCAATGTCATCACATGGTTCCGATGATTTGGAAATGATTAGGTTGTGAAGGCCGCGTCATTCATGCTCAGCCTCTTTGGACTGCCGTGAGCAGCGAGGCTATTCGCAAGTTTTCTCTACTTTCGGAACAGCTGCATTCGTCAACCACTACGACTGAATAGGCTGAGTAAATTCAAATAGGTTTTTTTGTATAATTCTGCCCCATCATCTCTGGAGCCGGCATGATGAACAATAACGCTCTTTAAGAGAGATTAAGCCTTTGGTCACGTACTCCAGAGCTGTGGACCATCTCCTACGCAGTAACTCCGTTACAGGTTAGTGATTGTTGGATACTAGCAATGAAGCAAGACGAGCACCAACGAGACCATGGTGAGAGCAAGTAAAGAAGGGCGTCACGTTACACATCGTCAAAGAAGGTACACATATAAAATGGAGATCATTATCAATCAAGCATAAGCCCTGTAGTCTTGGCAACAGAGGGTAGAGACCTCAACGCTGTTGTCAATGAAAACTTATGGGACGACGCCCGGGTTGCTGCAAGTTATCTAATTGTGAACATCAATATTGCTCTTCGCAGAGGATCCAAAGAGGATACCAGATTGCTTGAATTAAACGGCGCATTTGACTTGATATGGTATCCTGAAGCTGAATGGAACCTGAGAACTCAAGCCAAATGTAACATTTTGCTAGTCCTTAGCCTCGGCACTTGCACACATGCGTTTGAGTTCAACAGGATTCATGGAGTATCATGTGATTTGATTTAGATGTTGCGTAATCGCGGGGCTCTCTTCTAGTTCTTGGTCCTTCGGAGACGCCCCGTCGGCAGCCAACACACAGCACGTGGTCTTGCTCCTCCCTTTTTAGTCGTTGTTTCCAGTCGCAACACCCCAGAAATACCCGCACCAACTGCCCAGGATCAGCGCGATCAGCGCAACGAAACAGGCCATGGAGATCACCCTGTTCTTGTGGCCATCCTCTTCGTGGAACTTCCGCTTCTGCTCGTTCAAGATTTCTCCTCGAGCAATGCGGACCTTGCGCGACCACTGAAGATGTCCAAGATCAGTGAACTTGAGAGCCAGCAAGAACAAGCCAATAGACACGACAACTGAGATTCCGGCCAAGATGACATAGACAATGGTAACCTTATCATAGGAGTTGTTGTCCGCGTCTTGGATTGCTCCGGTCACGATACGGACTATGATGTTCATACTAAAGCTTGGTAAGTATGTTACGCCGATAGTGGGTTGAATTAGGAGGCTGATGGTACGTACGCATTGTTCATGGTGATCTTCAGCGAATAAGCTGAGCCAAATACCGACGAGTCCCACACCGCAGTACGTGTGCTGTCGATGATAGTGGCCGGACCGAAGCAGTAGGCAAATGCGAAGACACCAAAACTCGCCGCAGTACCCGTCGTGTTGTTGGCAAAGCATACCAACAACATGGAGGTGAACATGCCAACTCCACAGAATGCCACTGGAAACCCATGTTAGACCTCCGAAGCATATCAAGTTGGGCGGTGAGTGGGTGACATACGGATAGAGATGCGCTGGCCGAAGACGTCCAAGAACACCCCAAGAAGAGGAACAACGAAGAAACCTAGTTTAGTTAGCCTGGTGATCTCCTAAAACTTTCAATGAAGTTAATGCTTACCAGCATATTGAAGCGTCGCGCTGTACCATCCAGCAGTGATAGAGCTGGTGCCGAATCGCTGCTCAGCCAGCTCTGTGGCATTCTGCAAAAACACAATAGCAGTGCTAGTTTCGAAGAGGGAAAAGGCCATAACAGCCCAAAACGACCACGGCAGTTCCAAAACCTTGCGCAGCTGGAACTTCTTGGACTTTTCAGTGAGCTGCTCTCCTGTGGCTGGATCGCGGACACCTTGGAACTTCTTGTGGGCCACTTTCGTGAACCAGTAAAAGAACACAGTGACGACATTCGTAAACAGGTTCATGAACACCGCCACCCAGAAAACCCAGGCAAAGTTCCCTGTTCGCTTCGCGATAATGTTTGCAGATGACTTTCCGGCAAATGCACCGATCTTGCCGATGCCCAACTCAAAACCAAGCGTGGAGGCGAAACCGTTGCTCGGAGCAAACCAGGACGAGAAGACCTTGTACTGTGCGACCTGTGTAGCGATGTCTCCCAGGGCGCGAACGACTCGGCCGGCGACCATGAACTTGTAGGATCGTGTTTGGGCGGCCGCTGCGACGAGAATCGAACCTGCTGAGTAGATGAAGTTGCCATACAACATGGCGCCTGTTCAGAGTTAGCATGTCCGTCTACAATTGCGCCAAGGGAATATCCTACCAGCACCACCGATCCTATCCGTCACGATTCCACTGAGAAGCATCAGGGCCGTTACCATGAAGTCTTCGCTGGCCTCAAGCAGGGAGAACTGGGTGTTGCTAATACCCAGCTCCTTTTTGATGGTGCTCTTCATGGCTCCCGAGATGCCGGAACTCCATTGGGACCCGAAACCAATCGCCGTAACCAAGGCTATGGACGCAAACTTCCAAGTCCAGGGCACCTGAGTCTTTCTGGTGTCTTCGTCATCGCTTTGGTCAGCGGTCAATGTGTTGATCGCGACACCCGACTTTTCGTTTGCGTCGTCGGACGGGAGGGAGGCTGGGCGTGCTGTCTCAGCATCGCGGTCCAGGGGAGCGGTGGTGGCCATGTTGGCTGAACGAGAGGGTTGGGCTCCGACCGCACACAGCGACGTGAATGAATGACGTTGGGAGTAGCACCCGCGACGCAAGATTGAAGTCTGTGAAGAACGGGATTTGAGGCGGGAGAGCTGATGCGACAGGACACTATTTAACATGCAACCTTCAGCTTTCAGCTTGGCTCAGCTTCGTCGTTGTGCCCCTCCAGATCGTTCATATCAGATCCTTTCATCTGATAAGATAATTAAACCGAAGGTCCGAACATCCCTGGCCACACGTGGTTGACCAAAATTTACTCAGTGGACTGACCAAGGCAGATGGAAGCTGGATCCCGGATAGTGTCACCAGGCTAGGCCGTCGGTCTAGAAGCACGTTACACCGCGCCATCCCGGATGAAGTGGGTGGTCGGAAGAATGCTGCCTCATCGGGTAATGACTCAAGTGACATGATTCGCAAGAGCGGCAGACGTGGGAGAGTGCAACTTCGAAGGTTGCCGACATCATCTTTAAGCAACCAACTGTCTTAGAACCCGTGAAAATTCCCGAGGAAAAGACGAGGAGACGTTTAAGCTCGTACAACTTCGAGACTTTCACGTGCCCAACAGATCACATGTATTCTATCTGCCGTCAAACATTCGTCTCTTCCTGAAGTCTTCACGATTAACAATTCAGTGGCGAGAAAATTCGATCAAGGGGTACGAATTCGGTCTGTCATGAAGTAGCATTCAAAGCAAAGCGTTGAAGAACCGCCGAGTCTCTCACTGTGAGAGGATTCCTGATCGACGGTCCCCAGTCATTAAGTGGGTATTCCGTTGGTGGGAGTCCGGCGATACGAGGCCAACTGTCTCGGTCGTTAGTGGTTCGCCGAAACGTCGGACATCTGTAGGCGCTAGATGCGCGCGTGCAGAGTTCTCGACAGGCGATCGAATTGCGCGGCTTGGCGGGAGGTTGAACTTTCAGGGTCCTTGACTAATAAATGTTATTTTGCATGGTTCTTCACATTTACCCTGAGAAACGCCGGCGGGGCTGGCTGGCCATGTCGATATCGGAAGTGGACTGAGGTGTTGTTTATTATGATGGTCCCGTCTCCCGCGATTATCTCTGGCGCACGAGACCCTTTCAAAACAAGTCGCGTTTGGATCTCAACTTGACAATCTCAAAAGAATGTCCAAATCGCTGGAAAGATCGCGCTCGAGGACCCGAGGATATGGCTCCTGTTCCCCCCATCCCAGGGCCCGGTCCCCTTCTCCGGAAAAGCCAGTGTCATGGGCCGCCTTACCTCATAAAGGGCAGCTTGCCATGATCGTCTTCGCACGATTGGCGGAACCTTTGGCCGAAAGATCCTTGGCTTCTTTCTTATTTTTTCAGCTACAATGGTTTGACCACACCCTCTCGGAAGCAACCATAGCAACTCAGGCCGGCGTTCTCACATCCGCTTTCGCCGCTGCCCAGTGCGCGACCGGGATGTGGTGGGGCTACATCGCCGATAGCCCCCGATGCGGCCGGAAGAACGTCCTCATCATGGGCTTACTTGGTACATGCATGTCATCTTTGGGTTTGGCTTTTTCTAGATCTTTTCTGGCCGCGCTCTTCTTCCGAGTCCTCGCCGGTGCCTTGAACGGCAACGTTGGCGTCCTACGGACGATGATATCGGAAGTAGTAGATGATAAAAGGTGCGTAGAACGAAAACTGCGATTATTGAAATTTGAACCAACTAATAACTCTTACTTAGGTTACGGTCAAGAGCGTTCCTCCTGTTGCCAATGTGTTTCAATGTGGGAGTCATTGTAGGCCCTCTTCTCGGCGGCTTCCTTGCAGACCCCGTCACTTCACATCCGGATCTTTTCGGCCCCGGCTCCCGGATCGGCGGCCCCGACGGCGTTCAATGGATGATGGAGTATCCGTATGCTCTTCCCTATCTCATGTCGGCATCTTTCCTGTTCCTCGCTGCGATGGGAGTGATTCTCGGCTTGGACGAAACACACGTGGCCCTTCGCGACAGCAGAGATCGTGGCCGGGAGATTGGTCGCTACATTTCCAGCTGTCTAAAGACCAAAGAAGGAGTGGAATACACCCGTCTTGATCAAGATCTTTTGTCGGATCGTCCCGTTGGCCGAGTTGCTGGTCGCACGCACACCGAAGCTTCTAGCGAAGCTCCTCGGTCGATCTTCACTCATCAAGTCCTCCTTACTTTGTCACAAAATTTCCTCTGCACACTCCACACGTCGGCATATAACGCCATGCTTTTCATCATCTTGCCACTCGCAAGATCGAAGAACGTCGACAAGCATCTACCATTTCGATTCACTGGCGGTCTTGGTCTCACATCACAACAAGTAGGTTTCGCGAACACCATCATTGGCATCGTTGGCCTTCCTCTTCAGATCCTGCTTTTCCCGCCAGTGAGTGGGAAGCTCGGAGCTACATCCTCCTACCGACTCTTCCTTCCGTTCAGTCTGCTGGCATACACCGCTATCCCATTTCTGTCTCTTTTGCCTGGCAAGGGTGATATCTTTTGGGTGTGTTTGGCAGCCGTGCTAAGCTCGCAGGTGCTGTCCCGAACGTTTGTTGGACCGGCCACTATCTTGCTGGTGAATGAGGCTGCTCCACCGGCTGCTTTAGGTACGGTGCATGGAATCGCTGCAAGCACATCAGCAGGCGCTCGTATGCTTGGGCCGGTGATCGGCGGCTTGGTCCTCAGTTGGGGCCTGCAGACCAACGCCATTGGTATTCCGTTCTGGGGCCTCGGCGCCTTGGTTATGCTCAATTGGCTGCTAGTATGGGCTGTGAGGGTCAATCCCGGACGTTAAAGCAGAGAATTGGTTGGTCGGGTGAGAGCAAAGTCAGGCAGTGGTCACTTCTTGCCCTTTACCTGCCGTCGTCGATTACAATGGCCAAGACTATGGCACTAAACGCAATAGAATTTGAGAGAACAGAGTCTAGATCGTACACCTCTGATTCTTGGTTTCGTTTTTCATTACTTAGTTGGGAATGTCTATCTTCAATGTCTTCCATCAAGTGGTTACATGACTGGGGCGAGAAGTACGGCCTTTAAGCGCCCGTTGCGGGGCCTTGTGGACGTTTCCCGGATCTCAGAATCATGGGGATATCGTAATGTGGATAGTGGGGTTGCACAGATGATACTGCCAACGAAACAAACAGGCAGTGGAAAGGAGTCGGCGTTGCCAGCAACACATGTCATTGATAGAGGAGTTTGAGGGTGTCTGGTAGCTAGGCCTGTCATGACGGCCCGAGGTGGGATGACACCCTCAGCATCTTTTTAGTTTCGTGACGATAAGTTGCAGCCACTCATGTTCAAGATGTCTCATTATAATTCCTCGAAACAGCTAGTGCGGGTATATTCTAGACTTTGCGGGACATCTATCTTACCAGCCGGGGTTTGCCCCGCGTGAACCCAACCCCGCTCATAACGTAAACACACTATCTCCCCGTGAGACTCTGGCGGAAGCCCAATGCTGTTCACGTCGAGTTGTGCCAGTACTTCTGGTACCATCAGGAGATATTTGATCAGATATAAAGTCAACAAACAAGCACGTTCTCAAAACCATCAACATTCTTTCTCAACCAAACTCGAATCAGCACTTCCCACTCTGCGAGATACTGGGTAGTCTTTCTCAAAACAAGCTTCTTGAACAACCTCAAGTTATCCTCTGCAAAATTGTATCCAAAGGAGAGTTTCTAATCACAATGGCCGCCGAAGTCTTGATGCCTGCAGCTCCACCGGCCGTTCTGGGACCGAAACTCAAGGAGCCAACGCGCCCCACGAACCGGTTGCCCGACTTTCTGATCGACGAAGTGAGAGATGTAGAGAAAGTCTCTTTCGATCCAAAGAAACACCTGAACATTGTCGAACCAGAGCGCATCTTTACCATGCAGGAAATCGGGCTCGGCGGAAAGGGTATATCCCCGGTTGCAGCTTCTTCCCCATTCTCCATCTTTACACCAGAGGCCGTGGCGCAGATGAGAGCAGAGATCTTCAGCGAGCCCGTCCTTCAAAACTGCCAGTTCACCTCTGACTTTGCTAAGAACATGATCCGAGGATATGGACCTAGGTAAGTCGGGGTAAATGGTATCTGGTCAGTATGCTGCGGTGCTGACTCGTCTTTTCAGACTTTGTCCCTTCATATTCGATGCTTGGAACAGCCCCGAAGTTCTCAACGCGGTCTCGAGGGTCGCCGGTGTGGACCTTGTCCCAGCCATAGAGTATGAGGTCGGCCACGTCAACATCTCCATCAACGATGTCACGACTGAACTCACTGCGATCGAAAATAGCGATGACTCGTCCGCCTTTGCCTGGCACCTGGATAGCTATGCTTTCGTCTGCGTCACAATGCTTTCTGATTGCACCGGTATGATCGGAGGCGAGACGGCTATGCGAACGGGCACAGGGGAGGTGATGAAAGTCCGCGGACCAGCGATGGTAGGTTGTTGCCCCTCACAAAGTATACATGCAGGACTTTGACAAGTTGTTATCTCCAGGGCACTGGGGTCGTCATGCAGGGCCGCTACATTGAGCACCAAGCCCTCAAGGCCAAGGGTGGCCGGGAGCGTATCAGCATGGTCACTGCCTTTCGGCCCAAGAGTCCCCTGGTCAGAGACGAGACTGTTTTGACAGGCTCTCGCCCTATCAGCACTCGATCTGATCTCTACTATCAGTGGAGTCACTACCGTTTGGATGTGCTTGAAGAACGCTTCCGTGATGGGGCGAAAAGGCTCCGAGAGCGGGAGCGCGCTGGCCGTAAATTCGATGTTGATGCAGCCAAGGAGTTCTTGACTCTCCAGAAGCAGTTTTTGGAGGCTACTATTGCGGAGTTGGAGTAATGGTAAACTTGTCTCAAACCCTAGGTCGCGTATGGCTCAGAAGACTGGCAGCATGTCCGAACCAAATGAGCTACGGGTCTACTAGGTTAGTATTGTATGTAGGATTAGGTAAATTGTACGCAATCCAATCACAGTCAACCAATCATTGGTACCTCACATTTACAGTAAGAATTTAATGCCTGAGGTGGCTTGCCATAGTTATTTGAGGGGGAGTTGCTTTGGACGGAAGATGTAGTGTGACGCACTTAATGTCGTGTGCTAGAACGTTCTGTTGATGCGGGAGGAGATGGCCGAACCTCGGAGTCTTGTGTCCTGCGTCAATGAAATATTCATGATATACCATGACTGTTTGATAGGAGACATTGACCCCGCAGGTATTGATGTAAACCGCACATCCAACCAGTTGGTTGATCTAGTTGACCATATCTTCAAATTGTGTTTGGGTTTTGGGCTCTCATTTGGATTGCCTTTTCGGGCATAGTGCGAGATAACGCAGAGCATGCCGATCTCCGGAGAAAGGGCCGCGTTGGATGCACTAACACTGCCGCAAACCCTGGTGCATAAGACGCAGGCCAGCTGCCAACAGTGCGGGGAAGCGAGATAAGCTCCCCTCCCGGTCAGGTGGGTGGATGTGTTGTTGGGGCTCGACGGGTCTAAGCAACCCCGCTTCCTCGCCTGTCATCAGACATCACCTTTGCAAGGTCATAGGCTCCTCAGCATTGGATAGTACCTTGAGATGAAGGCGATGTGGATGCTCAGATAGATCTCATGGCTCGAAGAAAGAGGAAATACGTTCCCAAAGTCAAGGGTGAGTTTCGGAAGGGATCTTTCAGGTGGTGACTATTCAAATTGGATTACTTGACTGACAAACGACAGGGTGTTACGAATGTTCCCAACGCCGCATTGACTGCGATGGGACAAAACCCAGTTGCTTCAAATGTACAACACGAGGAATCCAGTGCAGTGGTTTCGGTCTGCAATACAAGTTTCTTGATGGCTTCTCTCGCAGGGCTAGGCCTCAATCTCTTGGAAACCGGAGTGCGCTGCTGAAAGACGCACTCGCTCAATCATCAACGAGTACATCGTCGAGACTTCGATATCACAACTGTCATGCTACTACCTCGGAACATGAAAAGCCCCATGATTCTTGGGAAGCCATCTATTGGGAGAGTTCTACACTGGACATCTATGACACTGCCCAGCAGGACGCATTGATAGATGCTTGCTTACAGACAAGTCCACGGATGAACGATGAAGGCTCCGATCCAGAGGTCCCAAATAATAACGCAGTCGAAGGAAAGGATGTTGCCGAAAATGCATCATCCTCAACAACAACTGAAGTTGAGGCGGTCGTCAGGCCCCGTAAACCGGCTGTGCTGGCAAGCTTGAGCATACTCGAGCCATGGAAAGAGTTCTTGATCGCGCACTGTAAGGCTCTATGGATGAAATGGCCCCGTGGAGATACTAACACAATGAAAAGTTTCCGAATCCATCGCGCCTGAGATGGTTGTCATTGATGACTGCTTCAACGGTTGGCGGCATCTGGTTCTTCCTCTTGCATGGACCAACGAAATGATAATGGACTCTGTGCTAGCTGTGTCAGCCTTTCATATTGCCGGAAAAGCTGCTATTCAGTCTGAATTTGACCCGTACCGGCTTTATACGCGGGCAATTCATCAACTGTTGAATCGAAAAGATCTGGTGGACTGGGACAAGGAAACGAGACAGTTTGTCATTCTCGCAATCATGGTTCTTCTTGTTTCTGTGATGGTCAACGGGTTATCGGATTTCCCTATCGTCTTTCAAATGTTAGAATCGGCCATCGATGCAGTCGGAGGAGAGGATGTGATAAAGAACGGTGCGGAAATGGGCGGGTTTCTCCTGCGGCAGATTCATAAGTGAGCCTCCATGATGACCTACTCCACTGAGCATATCACTGACACGTATCCACAGGATGAGAGTCTATGCTGCACCGCTACTAAGCCAGGAATCTGGAGTCGATGCCATCATGTATCATGGGAAGGAAAGCTTCGATTGTCTGTACTACTACCACAGCTTATACCCTGATTACTGTTCTACGTTCGACCACTTGGCGGACCTTCGCCAGCAGGCGTTCAATATCTACCTGAACCGCGCTTTGGGAGATAGTATCATGGGAGAATCTTCGGCAGAACTAATTAACTCGTACCAGAAAGGTCTAGAATCTTTACCTGACGGGTCTGTTGGCGAACATTGCCTTGTCTGGCCGACCTTCATTGCCGCTCTGGAATGCCGCAATCACGAGCAACAGTCATTCTTTGAACAGTTCTTGCTACGGCAATATCATCGTAACCAGTTTTTGAACATACTGAAGGCCTTAGAGTTATTGAGAAGTGTCTGGGACCAGACCGGACGTGGGAGCGAGACGAATTGGCCAGCACTGATTCCGAGTATGCGGGTTTTCATCATGTAAATACTTAGGGGGGCAAAGACATGGCTTGAGTGGCAGCACCTGAACATTTCAAATTGTAAATTGTAAACTCTTATGGTCTCTGGAAGAAGCTCACGTTTGTCGCATTTTCGATACTCATTTGACATATCTTCTTACAGATTTGCACGTGTAGTACGTTGAACGGCGTCAATCACCTCCTTCGCACCCTGCTCTCCAGAACACAGTGCCCCCTCCATGTACCCCTTCCATTCTGTAGAGTATTCCGTACCCACAAAATGAAGGTTGCCTACGGGCTTGCCGTAGACATCGGCATACTCCGTGTAGTGTCCAATCTCCTGGATCGGGGCCAGTGCCCCTTTGCTGTACTGCTCATGCTTCCAGATCTGGTCGAAGATTTCAATCGGACGGAAGACTTCCGAATCTTTCCCAACATTGAAAACCTTCGCTACTTGCTTGAGTACCACGTTGCGACGCTCGTGGGGGTGCAGCTGAGACCACTCTCCGCCGAACTTGCCGTTGACGAAGCAAGTCAGCGAGTAGAAACCCGTCTCATCGACACTGGTGTCGCGAGCCAATGTGATTGGGCCAGTGTAGCTCATGAAGAAGCCATTGTATCCGAGATCTCTCCACCATGGCTTGTCGTAGCATAAGATAGCCTTGTTGTAGTGCCCAAGTCTAGAAGAATCGTTGACTTCACGCAGTCTTGAAGGTAAGGGTGGAGAGATGTTCAGGTCACGCATCATGGTGCTTGGGATGGAGATAATGGCCTTTCTTCCCACGAAACGTTGGCCGTTGGTAGTGATAACGGTAACATGGGACGAGGTATTTTCGATCGACGCGACGGGTGCGGAAAGATGGATGTTGCTGCGACCTATCAGGTCGGCAATGCCATTTGCGATTTGTTGCGTGCCTATCGACCATGGTCAGTCCGAATTCATGCCCCATGAGAAATGATCATGTACCTTTATGCAAGCGCTGATAGTTTCCACCAGTCTTGTCATCAGCACGAATCGAGAAGAGACCTCTGTTCCGACGACAGTAGTCGATGAACCAAGCAGCAGACTCTTCCGTAGACTCGACACCATGCATTACCTTCGCCCAAAGATTGATCATGGCGATTGTCTTGGGAAGCGCACCCAGATTTCGCACGTATTGATCCAAAGACACGCTGTCATCTTCTCTCTTAGGAGTCTCTCCCTTCAGCGATTCGGCTTGGATGTGGTCTCGGATGAATTCCAGATTCTTCTTTTCTTCGGGAGTGAACTGCAACCGCTCAATCAGCCGTGTCTCAAACAATAACATGACGATATGCTGGTCGTCCACTCACCTCGGGTGTGATGCCAAATGGAAACTCGATCCTCTCGTTCTCGGACACTTGCATGACTGCTTTTCCGACTAGTCGCTGTGCAACCATGGGAAGATTGAACTTTCGGATGTACTTGGTAATCCGCGGTTGGGTGTTTTCATTGACCCAGGCAGCTCCAAGATCCGCATATCCTCGGCCAGATGCCAAGGGCACGCTCCATGTCTTGCCGCCAACGCGATTTCTCGCCTCGACAACGACGACAGATAATCCTGCCTGCTGCGCAGAGTAGGCAGCCTGAAGGCCGCTAAGGCCGGCACCAACAACGACGACGTCGAACATGCTGATCTCTGTTGATGAACTGGTCTGAGGAAGCTGTGGAAATTGCGCTCTTGGAGTTGCGAGACAAAATAGTCAGCCGTGGTAGAAGTGACCGAGACAATGTAGAAATATGATCAAGACGAATCGAAGGCACCCTGAGCCTCCTCTTTTTATTTAGATTTCGCAAAATGCCAAATTCTGAGGCACAGCCATACCAGTTTTCATCGGCTCATTTGACTCATATTCTACCGAGGGAGGTGGGCTTGTCGCAGCACTAGATGGAACCATGATCAGCCGAAACCGAATCTAAGCTACAGAAGCTCATAGCTCTTTAGGAAGAAGCCCACAATAGCTCACTGCCTATTTCAGAAATGAAAATGAGAGTCCAGATCATGACAGCCAATCCGAAGATGATACTTAGGACTTGACTCCTCGAGTGTCATAAGTTCGCCATGCAGCGATGTGGGGTTGTGCAGCGACCAGGAGCCTTCCCCAATGCGGTAATGAAAATGAGAGGACGATGCGGAGTTGAGATCAGCAGGGATGCGTCCCCTCAACTTCACTGCGAGTCCCCCCTTCCCCGCATACCTCGACCCATTCAGCTGCCGAAGATCGGGGGTTGGGTGAAGACCCTGATGTATTTAGAGATCCGTCATGGGTTGGACTTTGAGGAACAGTATCCAAGAATTTGAGGGACATGGCTTGGGCGCAATGCATCTGCACCCGACGCTTAGATTGCAGTCTCGTGGAGTAACTGTCTCGCCGACATGATAGGTGATGCGCCTCCGGCCTATGGCTAATTGTGCACCAACGACGAGACCGTGATTGTCAATAGGACAGTAGAAGCATCTTTCAACTAGGCGTGAAAGAAAACGTGGAACATTTCCATGTCGATTCTAGCGCTTGTTCTTTAAGATTACGGTTTCCACAGCTGTCCCATCCCTTCGGATTTCATAGAACTCGACTTTCTCAATTGATGCATACCATTTTCGCATTTTTTACTAGCTGCCCACTCAAGACGAGTCAATTGCGAACGCGAGGCCAAAAATCAAGTCGTGTCTTGCCTCGAACGCTGACCTTGATGAGAGATGTCAATCAAGGTTTCTGAGTGGGTTCGATTGATTGCATGGGCGGTCCGAACCCTCAGAGTCTCGGTCCGAAATGTCACAATGAGAGACCGACAAGGGTCCTACTGGATAGCAGCACTCCTCTCAGCAATATGATGGGCCGTTCATAAGTTTGAAGGTCGCTGCGTCATTGGCTACCGTTGTCAAAGGCCCTTTGTAGGCGACTTCTTCCCTCCTACTGATAACTGGGCAGTTGTTGATTTTGCTCAAAGGCCAACGTAAGTCTTTACTCTGCAGGCTGTTGCTTCTGTACAACCTGAAGGTATGGAAGTTGGTATTATAATAGTAAAATGGCCTAAACGACTGACTGATACCTGACTTTAGATCCTCCCAACCGACGATCAACCACCCAAATACACAATGGGTACATACGACGAAGACGAGGATTCGAAACCTTCCGAAATGTACAACGCACTAAACGGGCACTCCAATGCCGACAGACAAAGGGGCCCACGACATTGGAACCCAATTTCTTTTCTGAGAAACTCCAATTACACACCAGTGGAAGATGCAGATGGGCAAACAGAAGATGCATCTGCACTTACCTTGGAGCTTCGGAGAAAAGATACCACGATACGAAGATGGCAATGCTTTTCCGGACTCTTGATAGTAGTGTTGTTGGTCACCTGGTTTCTGTTCCCTTCGAAGCCGCCTCCACGGTATCCCCAGCCAGACGAAGGCACAGACAATGTCCTGAAATGGATGAAACAAGCGGAAGTAGCTGAAGGCCACTACTGGTGCGGTCCAACAACAGCTGAAGCCAAGAAAAGAGGATGCACGTTCAACAAACTTCACAACAGATGGATGTCGCCACATTGCGCAGCTGATTTCGAACCGGCGAAGGAGGCTGTCTTCAAGGCCCTGGATGGTGATGTACCAGAGTTTGTCTTCTACAGAGACGAGGACGGTAAGCCTGGGGCAAAGATATCCGAGGAAGAGCTGAATGGGCTGGATATCTTGACGCCAGCGTGGACGACTGTGGGACATCATATGACACATTGCATGTACTTGCTTCTTCAGGCAGCCGCATCTTTGAATCTTGGGACCAAGGCAGACATGGTAGTGCATGCGTGGGAGCATGCTGGGCATTGCGCTAGCGTCATTATGAACATCACAAAGACGGCGCCAGGGTGGACCGATATTGCAAGTTTCGGGCATACCCAGTCGGGCGTTTGTTGGTAATTGGGCACATCTGAACTAGCATACGGTCAACTGGCATAGCATTTGATGGGAAGCGCAAAAGATCGATTGAGCATAGAATGAAGACAGACTGAACATATTGTTGTCCCAGATATTGTATTACACACTAGCTTTATCCCTATCTTCGTTGCGAGTCCATAGTTCTTAGTCGCACATATCGCATAAGACGCAAGCTCAAGCCTCATCACTGTCACTCTCATGAGTGCTAACCTTTACTCTCGACTCCCTCCACTTCTGCAATAAGGGAAGTCCAACACCGGTCCAAACTGTCAATGCGATGACGAAGGCAAGAGCACTGCCCCATCCATGTGTCTTCGCGAAAGCTGGAGCCTGTCCGCTGGGCATCTGCAGCTGCTGGAACGGAATGACAACGGCCTGTCCAACAGATACCATGAACCCCAAGACAAAGGCACGCTTCTGCTGATCGCCACCGCATGCCTCGTTTGCCCAACCAGCCAGCAGAGGCGTGTAGCAGCCGTAACATCCTGCAAGGATAAAGACAGCCATCCGAAGCATATGAGGAACGGTCCAAGCGGTGAGCACGGCGTAGACAAAGGTCAACAGACAGCCGACCGCAAAGCAGATCGGGCCACGGCTGCGCATCTTGTCGGCAATGTAACCCGTCGAGACCATGAAGACGAAGTTGATTGCGCCGACGCAGGTTGGGATGTTGTTGATCTCAGGCACCGTGTACATCTTGGTGGATTTAAGGTAAAGAGTGAAGTACTGGATGATGTAGGAGCCGCAGGTGAGGGTCCAGAAGCAGTAGGCGGCGGTGAAGGCGTAGACCTGCCATGAGCCGAAGACGCGGGTGATGACGGACCAGTTCATCTTACCGACGGGCTTGCGGCCCTCTTCTTCGATGCGCTGGCGGGCACGCTCCTTCTCCCAGTCGCTGAGATAGAAGGCTTGGGTGGTGTGTGGAGTGTCAGGGAAGCAAATCTGACAGAAAGGTCAGCACATGCATACTAAAGCGCGGAAGGAATTGTCAACTTACAACGCCGTAGATAACGACTGGAATGGCGAGGATGAAGTCAAAGATGAAGAGCCATCTCCACGCCGACAGACCTCCCTTGCCGCCCATTCCGGTGTAAAGGGCGGATTGCAGGTATCCAGAGAACATTTGACCCAAGACGCCGCTCATGACAAACAGACCAGAACGACGGGCAAGTTCGCTCTTGCGGTACCAAGAGCCGAGGGTGAACATCACACCCGGCCAGGCGCTGGACTCGAACAGGCCGATAAAGAAGCGGAGGACGTAGAATTGGTGCGCGCTGTTGCACTTGAAGAGAAACAGTACGAAGAGCGACCACACAAAGAGGCAGCCTGGCAACCAGTAGCGAGGGCGGACAACGGTGATGATCAGGTTAGCGAAAGATCCGCCGATGATGGTGCCGATGTTGAAGTACGTGTTCATCCAAGAAAGCTCGTTGCCAGGGCCGAAGCCGAGCTCATCGCTCATGCCGGACACATAAGCATTTGAAATGTTGTTTTGGTCGAGCTGTTCGTATGAAATCAGTGATGAGCGTAAGAACCTTGGCGAAAGCATCATACCTGTTTGATGAAATACGTCAAACAACCGAAGCTCAGAAGAAACCAATCGAGCTTGAAGATGAGCTTCTTCTCTTCGGGAGATGTGCCCGGCTCATGCCAGTGGAACCACCCGGCCTGCTCAGGCTCTTGTGGGGGCTCCGGCTTAGTATCGGCAGCGGCGGCAGCGGACATCGTCGAAATGCCGTCCTTGTCGTGGGCCCGGTCGACCGGGTCGACCGCCTTGATCGCGTTCGACGCGTTGTTGTCGAGGTGCGCCATGTTTGACTCGGCTGTGTGACGAGCGAATGACTCGGGTGTTCGGAGACAAGGAGAAGCACCGCTTCGCACAACGCACGCGTCGGACCCAGGAATGCTGCTCGGTGAGGCCCTTAACAGAAGGTGAAGGTTTGGGGGTGACTGGGCAGCAGATCTTTATGACAGCCACCGCTCTCCTGAACCGTTCTCAAGGCGGCCGATAGCCCGACAATGATTGGATAACGATTTTTTCTGGGCCGAGCACGACATCGGCAGTCCGCTCAGTGACATTCAGCAAAAGACCGGGTGCTTGGAACGCCAGAACAACAATTTTACCCCGGTGCCGCGCGGTGGATTTGTCCCTTTGATGGTAGTATCGGGGAGGGGCCTGCCTCTTTACCCGTTTGGGTAGTTTGTGTCGGACGCTTTCCGGTCGCTGGCCCGGTCGTCGGACCCTTACTCGTACGCGCAGCAGTCCCCGGCTTACCTCCCATTCGCCTTCTGAAAGCCCGAAACCCCGCTGCTTCAGCTTTCAGTGCGGCAGGTGAGTTGGTTCAGATGTCGCTGCTAAGGCGTGATTCAATGTCCTGGCCGTCTGGCATGATGTTGACTGGTTTCCAGACTTGCATATCGGTTGCGTGTCAACTCAATTGAAAACAAAGCATCGAGCTGAACTCACCGACTTTTGACTCAACCGACCCGCCGGACTGTGTCTCACCATGGTTGACTTCGTAGATATCAACGGTGCCCGACTGGCATACCGTGTTGCCGGTCCAGAGAACGCACCTCTCATGATAACTCTTCACGGTGGCCGGGGAATGGGTGAGCCTGGGCCCTCTCTACTGTCAGTGACTTTCCACAGCTTAACAGCTGTTCAGGTGATCATAGGTCGGACTTCAAGGTCTACAGCCAGCTAAGTGACAAGATTCGAGTCTTGTCATTCGATTACCGCGGACATGGCCAAAGCTCTTTGACCAAGCCGTACACATTCGAGCAGATCGTGGACGACATCGAAGGCGTAAGGCAGCACTTTGCCGGTGATAAGCAAGTCATCATCTGCGGTGGAAGCTTCGGCGGCTTTCTGGCGCAGCACTATGCGATCAAATACGCCCCTAAAGTTTCGCACTTGATTCTCAGAGGCACTGCTGCATCTCATCACCGTGAGCTCTTGCGCTACGCACCATTGCTATTATGACTGACTCTCTCATACAGATGAGGCCGGGGCGATCAAGACTCTGGAAGAGAGGATACATAAAGTTCCCAGCTTCTCTGTTGACATGCTGAGAAACAAGGTCTTCGGAGCTTACGAGAGTGATCGTGAGTTCCAGCTGATCTATTTCGCCATGATGCCACTCTATCGGGAGGTCTTTGACCCGGATGCGGCGCTGAAGAGCAATCTGGACGGCGTTTATGTGGCTGAATCGCACAGTAAGCCAATAATGCCAGCGGAGAATCGTTTTAGTAAACTGACCATGTTTTAGATGATCTATACTCAGAGAAGGAGAAGTACTTCGACTACACAGACCGCTTGTCACAGATTACCGCCAAGACGTTGGTGGTTGTCGGTGACAAGGACTGGATCTGCCCTCCAGGTAAGCGTGACTGAAAACTCCGTTAGCATCCAAAGTAAATCACAAGCTGACATCAAGTACAGAAAACTCAAAGTTGATTGCCGAGAAGATCCCTGGGGCTGAGTTGTTCATGGTTGAGAACGCGAATCATGGAGTGCATGCAGAGAAGCCGGAAGTGGTGCTCCCCAAGATCCGAAGACACTTGAACATTTAAATCCACGGACGTCAATTATTTTGATGGTTCCTACTTCGTCACAGCTCAGGAATGACTGTTTTGTTCAATTTAAGATGCGTGGTATCTGAAAGCAGGGGCGCAACGCTAAAGGACGACAGTAGTAGCTACAAGCATTCAAAGAAATCCTAATTCCAACGACCCCCATCCATAGTCCATAGCAGAGTCCTCATTTCCCGCGACGGCCGAGTGTCGTGTTCCTGTCGGCGAGAAAGCAGCTTGCCCCCTGAAGCCCGTCGTAGTAGGTGGCTGGCCGGCGCAATCATCGGGCCATTCATGGAAAGCGTAACAAGTAGACCTCCCAAGTACTTCTTGCATCAGAGTGACTAGACTTGTGATCATTGGACGGACCATCGCCTGGTATGACTCCCTCGACGAGGTCATCTGTCCGTTATTGCCATACATGTTGTTACTGCTGCCGGGGAAGTGAAGAGTGGTGTAGCCGTTGTTGGGTACGCCTGAGATCAGACTCATGAACTGGCGGAAGACGTGTGCTGCTTGTCGCGCGTGGGTCCAGCCCTCAGGGAAGGCTTCGAGGATGCTGACGATGACGGCGACCTCGTCCCTGGCTGAGAACGACGTGCACTCTGCGGCACAGGCGATGAAGCTGTGGATAAGGACCAACCCGACAGGGAACAAACGGCATAGGGTGACGCGGTTCAGTGGCAGCTGGCGCTGCTGGAGAAGGACCGAAGTCGATTGAAGGTGCTTCTGTGCGAAGCGCAAGAGCTCGACCGCGGACACGATAGAGCCGCAGGAGTTGAAGTGGCACGGATAGTGAAGCAGGAGCAAAAGATGGTAGTACCGCGCGCTCAACCAAGTGACCGAGTTATGGATCGGCACGTTGTCTGGCTCCAAGGGAGACACAAGGCAGCCATTGCTGTACCAGTTCTCAATCTCTGATCTGATGTCCTGGACGATGGCACGGCGGTCAGCCTGCGAGAGAGCGGCGACGTCGGACTGCTTTCGTGTGTGAATCTGGCGGAGAATTCGATCTTCTAGTTGCCTCAACTGGATGACGTGACGGTTTGTCTGGAGGATAGAGGCAAAGTGTTGCCGATCTGGAGAGGCGAATTCTTCAATCGTCAGCCCGGGCAATGGAACATCCATGTTCTCGTCAATAAGGGCCACTGGCAAGCCCAATGAGATAGCCATCATCCGATCCAGAACGTAGATGCTCCAGAAGAGACGATGTCGCAGCTCGATATCCATAGCAGAGAGCGTCTTGTCTTCAGAAGATCTGCGGCTCAGGCCTAGCAGCATCGCCTGGCGGGAGACTATGCCAGCTATTGACCACGTCGAGATGCCCTTCGGATCAAAGAGAGAGTATAATGCCACCAAGACCAGAATCTGGATTGACTCGAGGTCTTCACGAGCTAAACATTCTTGGATAATGTCGGCATAAGCCACGTCGAACTTGGACGTCGTGTCGTTCGGTATCTGGCCTGCTCTCTGCAAGGTAGTACAGCCGATGGCCATGATGAGGTACAACAAGGTCGTATCTGAGTCTCGCCGCCGTTTCGAAGACTCGCCCAAGTTCTCCAAGTCCCTGAGAACTTTAGACCTGTTCACGAATGGATATGCTCGATTTACGTTCCGGAAATATGCGTCCACGAATCGACGAGCAATAGCATCTCGTGGCAAACTCGATGACGAGAAGCCTCCATCCCGGATAGACTCAATACCAAGTATCCTCCCTGGCTCTGGTGCCGGCTGAAGAAGAGCACGCATATGATCGTTCCCTCTCGATGAAGGTGATTCCGAGTCAACGTTCACGGCCAAACTTCGCTGATCAAAGACAACCGACCCGGTGTTGCCGTGTATCGTGAACCCATCTCCTCGGTTGCTCCCCACACTCGCGGATCCAGGCGTGGCTCCATTTGCCGGCGTTGATGGGTTTATATCCAATTGCTGGCTTTGGTGCTGGGAAAGGGCACCAGGCGAAGACCCTAAGAGCGAAACAAGGTCCGTTCCGGTATCCAGATGCTCAACCCCGCCTCCAGGAACCGGGTGGCTTTCGTTGATGTATCGTGTTAACCATTCAATCCTCGCCCTCAGGTGATGCGTCTGAGCTGCCGTCGACGCGGCTGGTGTGGAGAAAGAACACTTGTGTCCAGCATTGGCACATAACGTGCAGATAGGAAATGTGCGTGAGCATTTCTTCTTGAAAGCACGGCACCGGTCGCAAGCGGGAATGTCGCGGGGTGCCTTAGGCGAGGACGCCGCCACTCCCGTGTTCGCCGAGGTGGTGGCGTTGGCGACATTGGGAACAGGGCCGCCCGAAGGAAGTCCAGGGGCAGCAGCAATAGGACTTGGCAGTATCGAAGGCGTAGGGGGCGGCAGAGATGTTGTCCCTAAGGCTGCCGAGGCCACTTCTGAAGATGAGACATCGGGAGTGATATCCGGGGCTCCTCCAGCTGGCGCTGGTGATGTCTGCGGTGGTGGCAGAGATGCGCGAGGCAGCACGGGCGGAGAAGCCGAGCGGCGGAGAGTGGATGGAGACGATGGGGATGTTCGTCGGACGCGGAAGCGGTGGATGTTGGATTTGATCTGTTCGGGAGACATTGCGACGGGTTTGCCAGTGAAGACGGCGAGACGCCGACGCAACGCCCGTCTCGAGTCGGAAGGTGGACGATCGGTCGGTCGGTCACTGTGCGCGGGCGCGTCGCAGGCGCATAGATGATAGGGGGATCGAATGGCTTGGAATCCAGGAGTCGTGGGGGCGATCTGAGTCGGAGTCGGGGCTCTCTCCGCTATTATGCTGAGCTTGCTCTTCAGGCCATGGATGGATGCCAGGCCCTTCCGACGTGGTGGTAATGCTGCAACAATCCGTTTCTATCTCTATCATGTATGTCGACGTAGAGAACGCAGCATCTTTGCAGAGTGCGAATCTTTCCTCTCCCCCCTTTCAGCGTTGCACTCCAGCCAGCCTGTCCAGTCCGCGCAGATCCGATAGCATATTTTTTTTTCAAGCCTTGCGCCGGCAGCTAGCACGACCCAGGCATTTCGGCAGTCAGTTTGATAGCAATCAACAGAAGCACGACTCGAACGGGCGCAGAGCACGCAATCTCTATCGGCTGAGGGGGTCGACGAATGAGAATTCTTTCTTCAGGGACAATTGTCCAGTAGATGGCCCATGTTTTGCCCCGCTGTCGGGGATCTGTCGTTCGGACTTAGTACTGCTGAAGAATTTTCTTTTCTGGTTAGGTGGCCGGATTGCGACTTTATGGGAGACAAGTGCGTGCTACAATCACTGGCGAACATGGGAAAACAGAAGCTTCATGTCTCTATGAATGATAGAGTCTCTGCCAAGAGAATTGTAAGACGGGGAAGTATATGACTTGCATGAGACTGCTGTTCGTCCCAAGACCGCTTGTCTCCGGCAGCCGGAGTCCGGCTGAAGGATGCGTGTATGTAATAGTCCCACCAGACAGTTCAGTGTTCGCGCGACTCAGACAATAGCGCCAGTCGGGCCAAGGCCGATTAGTGTCGGCCGTCACTCTCGCCTCGCCATCCCAGCGGGCCTTTCGTCCGATTGCAAAGCATGATTGCACCAGCTGAATGAGTGGTTTGTGCCTATTGCCGAAATCTGAAGATATGGGAATGCAATCGCCTGATGTTCTTGCACCAGCGTAGACAACTCTTCACGGGTGTTTACTCATTTAAGTCCGTCATCTCCTCTCTTCACAGGCTTCCTCCGAGCTGTTCATCGGCGCTACGATACCCCTCATCATCATTCCAACCCTACTCTTCCACATTCCGTCCCACACCGATCCGGTCAAACCCCGCAGCCATGTCGCCCATGTACACGGAGGATAAGCTCAATGTCGACCGGGTCGCCGTGATCGGCGCCGGACCGTGCGGTCTCGCCGCCGCGAAGTAAGCTGTCGTCCGACCGAGCCAGCCCCGGAGTACCTCGATGCTAATCACCGGCTTGTAGATACTTTTTGGCCGAGAAGAAGTTTTCCAAAGTCCAAATCTTCGAGCAAAGAGATACCGTCGGCGGCGTTTGGACGTACAGCTCCCTGAGCGTCATTGACAATGACTTCAGCATCCCGAGAACACAGCCCACAAGAAACCCGGACACGGCTATTGCCGTTGAAGGTCATGAGGCCAAGCAGTTCGTGTCGCCAGTCTATGACTTTCTTGAGACCAACATCCCGCATACGCTCATGAACTATTCCGACAAGAAGTTCCCCTCCACTGCCTCGCTATTCCCTCCTCACCAGACCGTGAAGAAGTATCTTGAAGACTATGCCGAGGAACTTAAGCCCATCATTTCACTATCGACGCAGGTTTTGAGCTTGAAGAAGGTACAGAGTGGTAGCCAAGTATGCTGGGAGGTTGAGACACAAGACCTCAAGACGCATGAGACAGCGAAGTCCCAGTTTGATGCGGTGATGGTCGCCAGCGGCCACTACAACGACCCCTTTATCCCGGATATTTCAGGCCTCGCCGACTTTGACAAGGCGCATCCTGGCACCATTTCCCATTCCAAGTTCTACAGGAACCCTTCTCAGTATGAGGGCAAGGTAAGTCTCACCCAACGTTCACTTGTGCGAACCGTGGACTGACTTGATCATCCAGAAAGTAATCGTCGTCGGCAACTCAGCTTCCGGCATCGACTTAAGCGCCCAGATCTCCACAGTCTGCAAACTCCCCATAATTGTGTCTGAAAAGACCATCCCGAATACCCCAGCAGAAGACCGCTCATCATGGGCCAAGATGGTGCCCGAGATCCTCGAATTCATTCCAGAAGGCCGCAAAGTGCGCCTGGCCAATGGCGACATTGAGTCCGATGTTGATGGTGTGGTCTTCTGCACAGGCTACTTCTACAGCTTCCCCTTCCTCCGCGACCTCTCCCCGCCAGTCGTCACAGACGGCGCCTACGCTCGCAACTTATATGAGCACCTTCTCTACATCGATGATCCGACGTTGGCGTTCGCAGGTATTCCGCAACGCATCGTCCCCTTTCCTGTTGCTGAAGGTCAAGCTGCATTCGTTGCACGGGCGTGGGCAGACAGATTGCCCCTGCCAAGCACCGCTGAGATGAGGGAGTGGGAAGCAAAGATGCTGAAAGATAAGGGAGAAAGCAAGATGCTTCACAACCTCGCTTTCCCGAAAGACTTAGACTACATCAACATGCTCCACGCTCGGAGTCTGGAGGCTGCGAAGCGAGAGGGACTAGAGAACGATGGCGTCGGTAAGATTCCACCATTCTGGGATGATGAGAAGCGGTGGACGAGAGAGCGCTTCCCACTCATCAAGATCGCATCAAGGAAGCTGGGTGAGAAGAGACACGAGGTCACGACTTTGGAGCAACTGGGCTTCGACTATAGAGCATGGAAGGCTGGCTTAAGCGAGGAGGAGAAATTGCTGTGAACGCAGCATCAGAGCGAGGAGTAAACTATCAGACTCAAGCGCTAGACATAGACCTCTAGAGTTTCTATCATTTGGAAAGCCTTGACGCCTTCTCGAAAGCCTTATCCATCAATCCACGCCATGAAGTACCCGTTGCAGACCCTATCTAACTACCGTTGCAGCTGCAGTAAATCAACGCAATCAAGTTAGGTATCAACAGCAGCTTTTTGAACCTTTCGACCGAAGTGACCCAATAGCAGTATACCCCCAGCCTGAGCAACGGCGCAAACAGATGAAGTTATCCAGCCTACTCGAAAGTAGGGCGTCTGTGTTCCCGTATTGAAGATGAGAAGGGGAACCCAAGCGTTGAAAGTCGCACCGAAAGCTTGAGCGATTCCAAGAATGAGAGCTCTCTCATCCGCCAAAGAGCCAAAGGTTTCGCCAAGGTAAGACTTGCCCCCGAGTCAGCATCTGTGTATGAAGAGAAACGAATGAGAATCTGCTTACGATGATTACAGGCCCATAGGCGAGGGTAGCCGGGTTGACGAGGTACCCGAAGAACGCACCCGCCTTTGACGAAACTACGGCCAAGACAACACATGTGACGAAGTTCAAGGAGGTAATGATGAGTGCGACCCAAATCCGATTTTCCAGCCTGTCTGATAGAAGGCCAAACAAGATTGTGCCGACGAGACCGACTGCGTACGCGGCTGTGGGAATGCTGGAAAGGTTTCAGCCAAAAGTCAATAGTGTACTTGTTAGCTACTCACACATTGATCTCCTGGACCGTGTACTCGTTCAGGGTTTTCAGATAGATCGCAAAAAAGTCGAGACCATAGGTATCGATGCAGAAGAATCTCCGTTGCGTTAGCTAGAAACATTTACGAATACGAATGACTCACATGTAGTTGAGTACAAAGACCCAGACAAACGGGCGACTAAGCACGCTCTTGAATGTTTTAAGGGTCACGCCCTCGAATCTTTTGCGCCCGACCTCAACTACTCGTGACTTTGCGAGTTCTCGCTCCTCTTCGTTGAGGTAAAACACACGCGTGTCATAAGGACTATCAGGGACAGCAAAAAAGCCCCAAACCGCTCCAGGGACGTTGATGATTCCGCACATGATGAAGAGCCATCTCCAGCCTGGTATTCCGTGAACGCCGTCAAGTCCAGTGTACACCGCTGCTTGAAGGTATCCTGAAAACATTTGGGCTGCGAACGATGCCGAGTAGAAAATGGTAGCGCGAGTGGCCAGCTCTGCTCAGTCGTTAGTTGGGGATATCTGGGCTTGCAGCTAGAATGTTTACCCTTGGGAGTGTACCAGCTTCCAAGCAGTGTCATGCCTCCGACATAAAAGGGAGACTCGGTGAGTCCGAGAAAGAGTCGAAGGGCATAGATGTGCTTATAGTTCTTGACAGCGGCAAAGCAGAAGGTGAGGACAGCCCATGTTACCTCGATAGATGGGAGCCAAATCGAGGGACGGACATGGGTAACGATGATTTGGCTTGGAATCATGCCAACTGTGTAGCCTATTGTCCACAACGTTTGAAAATAATTGTATTGATCGGCGAAAAGTTCCAAATCCTGTTGCTATTAGCACAAGAAATCGCCACGGGTGGTGGTCTTCTACGTATTACCTCTTCCATGCCAGACACGTATGCGTTTCCTGTAATAGCGGTTAGATGGTTTCGTGTAAGAAGTACACGTTGCAGACAGGCTTGTAAGTACTTACGAAGATTTGAAGCATCCAAAAGTCTGAGGAAGTATCCGAAACATGCCCAGGAGCTTCTAATGTTAGTCACTGACGTGAACGAAGTGGGGTCCACTCAGGACACTTACAGAATGAAGAAGTCGAGCTTCAGCAAAAGCTTTCGTTCTTCAGACCTACCGCTTCGGTGAAACCAACCACGTTTCCGCTGACCAGCAGCTTCCCCTTCCACATCACCGACAACATTATGAACAATGTCATCTCGCTTGGTGTGCGATGAATCTTGATCCTGAGTCAAACTGGACTTGTCAGCCATTTTGCAGATCTGGTTGGAAGGCCTCGCAGATGATACGACGGGCTTGAACAAGACGCAAGCAGATCGTATTACTTATCAGGAGCGCGAAGAAGCGATGCGGAGCTATCTAGTTCTGCCCATTCTTGATGCCATGGCACCCAAGGAATGGTGCAATGCCGGCATTGTGGATCGGTCTTTCACGCCAACTCTATTCGTCGCCTAGGTAGTAGACGCAGAGAGATGTGATGATTGGAGAAGAGATGGTCGATTAACAGAAACCGGCGCCGAAAGCCGGCTTGCTGCATGTCCGCGCAACACCCGTGTCGTACCGACCGCCTAGGACGATTTACCATCAATCCTGACAATTGCGCCATCGTGCATCCGACAAATTGATGACCAACTATCGCTCATTATCCGGAATGTGGGCGACCTGGATTCCAATGCGCTATAGCATGAGGTCGATGAAGAGAAGAATTCCTTTAATATGACGAGAGTCTGACCGCGGACTATTGGGCAACATTTGGAACTGACAGAGCCTCCAGGTCTTTGGGCAACGAAGACCCTATCAATACAGCCATGACTGCCGACATCATTCCGTATGAGCTCTATTCAGACGCTCCAGGCTTTTTGCTCAATAAGCTTGAATGGAAAGAGGCAAATGCAGCTCACCCCGAAACCTCGAGCTTTGGCTCAGTTCCAAAGGGGTGGCCATCTCAATTTTCTGGGCCTCAGACGTGGACTGGTCAATATTAGAACAGCATCGTAAGTTACGTACTCGTAAAACAGAGACAAAGGGCGAATGCTGATTCTATGCAGCCGAAAAGTACATCAAGCACCTCTCCCAAGAGCATATCGATGAGATAGATGCTGCCATCAAGGTGAGAGCATGTTGAGCGCGCCCTTATTTCAATGACCAGACGGCAATCTCATATCTGTCGGCACAGAATTGGAAGAAGCAATCCCTTCTTCTTTCCAGTATTAGTCGATCGAACTTTCAGCTTCCCATCCTCGGGCCAATACTGCGCGGAGTATCCGATCAAATCTACAACGGCATCGGGGTTCAGATTCTCAGAGGGTTCCCGGTCCAGAAGTATGACAAGACGGACCAAATCATTGCGTTTCTCGGAATCAATGCTTGGGTCGGTGATCGACGTCTCAACCAGGGAGCAGACCGAGCAATATGCCACATCAAGGTGTGCATCAAATATCCATGCCGCCTTCGTCAATGGGTTACTGACAATTGCCAGAGCATTTCGCATTTGGACCCAGAAAACCGTGGAAAGATCTATGTTTCTGCTCAAGACACCAACGCACAATTCTTTCACAGCGACGCCGGTAGTGATGTAGTGGGACTCATGGCTGTGAGCCTTTCAGGTCACGGAGGTGCATCGACTGTCGTCAGCGCTGAACAAGTGTACAACCATCTTGCCATACATCGACCTGACATTGTCCGGCTTCTGGCCGAGAAGAAGTTTCGCTGGAGAGCGTACGTCTGTCCCCCAACACAAATCGGACGATTCTCACTATACTTAGCAACGGCATACCTGACGATGGGGTGCATTTGGTTCACAACAAAGGCGGCCGCCTATTTCTCAATTTCTCGACACGGACTTTCATTGGCTATGGAGAGGTGAGTCTTAAAAGATGATAAGTGCAGTGAAGTGACTGACGATTGGTAGATGCCCGATCGGGATGCGGATTACCCACCATTGTCCTTCCAAGAGCGAGAGGCCTTTGCGAGATGGCAGTGGGTGGCCGACGAGTACAGTCTCAAGACAGACCTTCAAGTAGGTGATATTGAATGGTATGTTGCTTTCAAGTCCTTCCCGAACCCGTTCTCCCTCTGACTAAGACCAATTTAGGGTGAACAATCTTCACCTTCAACATGCACGCCGCGGCTTTACCGAGGACATCACGTATCCTAGACATCTGATCCGGATCTGGCTGAGCGATAGTGAAAACTCGCCCGAGCTTCCTGAAGACATCAAGCGGAAGTTCGACGCCATGTTTGCCGAGGATCCGAATTTCTTTCCACTGATCGAGGAGGACTTGAGGCGGAGGCAGAGCGGGATCTTCACCGGCTCGTGTAAGCAAGAGACAGCTGACGAGAGGCTGCAAAGCGGGGGCATTGAAGCGTTGAACTCCCGAGTAGTCCGTTAGTTGCACGGCGTGACACGTTGCAGGAATATTGAGCTTTGAACCTATTAATGGTGATTTCCGTTTCTCATTTCCTTGGCTTGGTTGCGTCTAAATGCTGACATCCGGCGTGTAGATCATGATGAGCCTCGACGCGAGCGTTACTGTCTTAGACACCGGCGCGGGCCTACTCGCTTCGGCCGTTGTCAGCATAAGCAACCCGGCACTCGAATGCCGAACGTTCTCTTGCAATGTTTGCGATGATTCAGATAGAAGTCTGAACATTCTGTACCAATGGAAAAGGTTTTCATCTAAATACTGCTGAAGCCAGCTCGGTTCGCATGGATTTTGCAAGTAATTAGCTGCACTGTACCACCAAACACGGAAAAGACATGGCGGAGACCTGGCAGAGACATGGAAGTGACACAGAAATGCGTCAAAGGGCTATTATTGATATTCTGAATTTGCAATTCTCCTTTCCCTGGACAAGACAAGCTGCCAAATAAACCTTTAACTCCGGATGCTAACAGATGGATCCCATGTCGTCCTGAATATGGTCTGTTTCCTGTATCCCATTGCTTTCAAACCATTCATTAATCCCATTCTTGCTCTAAAAAGCCGTTGGTGTGGCGCAAACCGGCGACGTCACCGTCGTAGGCACTGTGGCCGGGACGTAGATGACCTTCTCATAGGCGGGTCCGTGGCCACCCCAGTTAGGAGCCTGCGCGTCGGCAGTTGTAACGTGAGCACAGCCATGGCAGTCGACGGGGCTTGGTACAGTGACTGTGCTGTTGTACTGTGTGATGGTTGTCGTGGGCTGGAAGTCGCCAGTGAACCCAAGGTCGAAGTGTGTAACAGTAATTGTGCAGTCGCTCACGGCTGGTGGCGCGGTAGGCTCGGGCATTGGGCTAGCAGCTGCAAAGGCTGCAAAGCCAACAATTACTGAAATGAAAGAAGTGCGCATTTTTGTGACAGTTTTAACGAATGTGAAGTTCAAGTTTGATTAAATTCCGTAATTGTGTAATTGGAGATGAAGGTGCTGCCAAGATTGAACAAGACGGGGAGCCAAGACCTCAATATTTATATTGCTCTTCACCTTGCAGATCTTCGGATCTGCTGGAATCCTAAAGGATTCTTGATATTGAGGAACCATGCTGATCGTTGTCTGAGATCGGATGAACGGCAAAGTAGCGGGGAGCCAGAGTCCTCTCCGTGTTGATCTCCCACCCGTTGTGTGACGATGAAGGCTATTATTATCATTAAGTTCTACGGCCATCCCGCCGCCACCTTCTGCTATTCACTGGGGAATAATGAGGGATTCGCCGAAAACAATTTGGGCTCGTATTGCAGTTAAAGCGCCCCCTGAGCGCTCAGCCCGAATATGATGGGACGCACTGTTGTAAGCTTTCTAAGGTGGGGTAAACAAGCTGTCAAGCCTCCAAAGTTGATTGCAAAAACGTGGGTGCCCCCTGCTAAATGGTCCGATGATGTGCCCCCTTTTGAAAGCTTGTTTCTCCGAGCGGGTCGGACGATCATGTTGGCATGGCTGTTCAGGAACGAAATATTATTATTGAAACTTGCAGCTTACCTGACGAGTCAACAATCATCGTGAATTCATACTTAGAGCTGCGGATGCAACTACTCGTCGCCGGACTCATCCACCGGGACGGATTCACCCACCGGAGCGGACACACCCATCGCGCCTAAAACGGTCGGCGTCGCCATTCCTGTCATGCACTCCAACTCCGCCGATTTCATTGCCCGCGCAAAAGGAAAACCAGTTCATACTGCAGATGCTGCAGCAAGGAAAAGATATCGCAGCCACAATCAAGCGCATCATTGAAATCGAAGGACAGTTCGAAGGTTGGTTATATTGTCAAATAGATCTGACCCCGCGAGCCAAAGCAAATCTGTGGATTTCCCCGCAGGACAGCTTGACGGATAACCACGTGGAAGCAGACCATCTTCCAGCCCTTGCAGCATGGTAACATCTATCCCACACGAACAGTGATACCAAAATAAGCAGATCATAGTACCCACCAGCCCCAGAGGCAGTGCTTGATTCGCATGAGAAATACCACTGCAATCTTCGATGTGGTTGCGGTTGCATTGTGCTATCAAAGTTTGGGCCCAGCCTATGCAGTCAGTATTGTTGTAGTAGATTCCCGTGATTTACTTACAATGAAGAAGTAACCACGTAGCAGAATGTTTGTCTTGCAGGTATCACCAGCATTCAGCCAAAAGCATTTGGCCGTAGTGTGATCAGTCTGGTCTTCAGCAACGCACATGATTTGACGGAAGTTGGCGCGGCTGATGAACTGAACGACGCCTTTGCTGGCCGAGCTCGGCTGGCTGTATGTGCATTCCGCCCTGGGGGGTTGACCCTGAGCGGCACCGACTTGCAGTGTTCCGCGGTAGACTCCGCTGGGTTGGCGAATCAATGAGGTCCAAGAACTGAAGAGAGGGGTAATTTCAACAGGTGCATCCGCGCAAGTCGCTTCCGCAACAGCAAGTTGCCACAAGAGCGCCATGAAGAGCACCCGAATTGCGGGAAAGAAGAATTTGTTCATATTGGCAGTTGTTTCCGAGGGAAAATCCGAGACAAATGGTTGTGACTTTGGAATACGAACAACTTTCCCCCGGCGAAATGGCAGTTTAAGTAGAGAAAGAGGTTGGCGGAAGCTCTGTACAGCTGGTGACATCTTCGCCTCGGTATCGCAAATGTCGATCTAGTCTATGGAGTCTTGGATCTGTAAACTTTCATCGGTGATTTGATGTGAGCCATTTACATCTCGAGAAAAACTTTGCTGCACGAATGACCGAGCTTAGGAATCGTGTTGAGCAGCACATTCCACCTACCCGCAGCAATTGCAGAATACCTCCCTCAACGAAAATGCTTAATTAATTGTGATTTGAACTTCGCTAATGAAGTAAAAGACTTTGGGCTCTTCATTCATGAGGACAAACATTTGCTGTTCTAGAGGCACTCGCACCTAATTTGAGAAGGGTGGGCTGGACTCAAGCAGCAGGTTCTACTGTCAAAAATTGGCCATTCGTATCACATGGTAAGTTGATGACTATCGATGTGTAGCAACATTTTCGGAGTGGTTAAGACCATTAGATAGTGTGAGTAGACTTCGCAGAGTTGCCTTGCACTGCAACCGTTCTAGATACTCATAAGACATGGGCCGTCAATCGGTGAGCACGAAGTGAGGGTTGCCACGAGTCAGCATCAACAAGCAAGAGTGTGTACCACATAAATTGCTGCTGATAAGCTATACAGACAGCAATGTGTTTGCGAAAGTATATTCTCGGCCATTTCCGCTGTTCCCTGACATAAAAGAGCATAAAGAAAGGAGCATTCCGTTACTCTTTGCCGAGCCACTTCCAGGACCAACCCCCTCTTCCCCACACTCGTTTTGTCTGATTGAACCAGCACTGTTGGACTTATTTGCTCGAAAATGAACTTCAAATCGGCTGTTCTTCTTCTTGTCGCTGCGTCATCAGCATGCGCCAACCCAGTAGACCTCTGCAAAAAGGCCGCGGACGGCACAGTCGATAAGCGTTGCGGCGGTGGTCCCGTCCTTGACCATTGCAATTGCAAGATGTACGGACTCCATCACCCATTTCTATCGTTCTTCAGTTGAGTTTTTCATACTTACCAAGTCGCTTCACAGGTGGGTCCCTGGGAAGACCTCGGCCGACCCTCGCCAATACCTGTCTGGAGACTTCCCATACGGTACCGGTGTGACCCAAGGCACCATGAAAGTCACAGGAGGCGCAGGTCAGGGCAGCGTCTGCTCCGTCACCTGGGATAGAGGAGACAACGGACGTTGTGGATACTGGAACCAGATCAATGGCCCAACTGGATCGGGCTGCCAGCAATTCCACAATGTTTGGTTCAGCTGTGACGAGGTTTACGCATAGTATTCAAGTTGCCTGCAGTCGCCATCCTTGCCAAGAAATTGCCTTTTCAAGGAACCCCAAAACATATACTGTTCGTCACAGCGTTTGGCGCACGGAGCAGAATAACTATCGAAAGAGATCATACTCACGGAAAATATTCGAAGATTCCGCATTCGGTCTTCACAGGCTGATGCACACAGAGGGAGGTCAAAGAAACAACTACCTACATTACGCATTCATATGGATGTGGACTTCTTTAACAACGTTCTGCTTCCACTTAAGATCTCCTGTTTCTCTACGTCTAGTTGATTTTGTGTTTTGCGTCTTTCAGAGCTTGCGAGAACTGCGTGTCAAACCTGCGTGGAATATGGCTTGCCACCGGGCCATGTTTCATACGCGCCATTGGAGCTAGTAGCTTGCAGTAGCTGTAGACCTTGGCCTGCGTAGATACCTATCTCATTAGGCAGTCGATAACCAAGACTCTCATGCACGTAGACTCTTTGGGCAGGCCGACCCAGCCCCGCGCAAAATCTTCACCCCCGCACATTTTCTGTGATTTCAATTTCCACTCCAGTTTCTCTCAGAATGAGGTTCATTGATGGAACTTTATTGAGCCTCTATCATTCCTTTGAGTCCGCCAAGCCTGGTTCAATTGTCAACGACGTTACGCAAACATTTTCTCGTCCCTAGGTCTAAACAATTTCAAATTTGGGGCTTTGACCGAAGTATCTCCATGGAAGCTACGATTTTGGACCGAAATGCCTACACTATTGGCTGGATATGCGCTCTGGTCGCGGAGTCTGCCGCGGCTCAGGCGTTCCTTGATGAGCGACATGAAGTGCCTAAGCAAGTCTCAGATAGCAACAGCTATGTCACAGGCAGAATCGGAAAGCACAACGTAGTCATCGCCGTCATGCCTCGGAATGAGTATGGAACAACCACAGCTGCTACGACAGCAAAGGATATGGTGCGCAGCTTCCCGAAAGTACGACTGGGCTTGATGGTTGGCGTTGGTGGGGGGCTCCCAAGCCAGGAGCACGATGTCCGACTCGGTGACGTTGTGGTCAGCAGTCGCAGTAATGGTACCGGCGGTGTCATTCAATATGATTACGGCAAAAAGACACAAGGCCAAGTCTTCGAGGAAACAGGCCATCTTAATCAGCCACCCACAGCGCTCATGACGGCCGTGGCTGCACTCGAGGCACAGTACGAACTCGAAGGCCCTCAGCTTGACGACAAGGTGGAAAAGGCTCTGGAGAAGCATCGAAAGCATTTCCGGAAGAAGTGCGCCCGCCCGCCAGACAAAACTGATAGGCTATATCGCCCGGAGGTTGTTCATCCTAACAACATACCCGGAGATTGCACGGTCACTTGCGGTATTGATCCGGAGCTTTTAGTACCCCGAGTCCCGCGAGACGATGATGATGATAACCCAGACGTTCATTATGGTCTCGTTGCATCATCCAACCAAGTCATGAAAGATGCTATGGCTCGGGACAGGCTCATCGCAAGAGGCGTTCTGTGTTTTGAGATGGAGGCAGCGGGCTTGATGAACCACTTTCCGTGCTTGGTCGTACGCGGCATATGCGACTACTCCGACAGTCATAAGAACTCTCGTTGGCAACCATACGCGGCGATGGTGGCGGCAGCATATGCCAAAGATTTACTGGGGTGTGTCAATCCCATAGTCGTTGAAGGGGAGAAGAAACTTTCGGAACTTATTGAGTCTGGTTGGTGAACTTTGCTCATTCAAGTAATTATAGTAGTTGTATCTAATACTGATGCCAAAATTACAGTCGGTGGGATTGAATCTCAACAGCGCAAAAAGTATCTTGAAGAATGGCTTCGGCCCGCCAACCCGTCGGACAATGCGAATCGTGCCAAGGATCTCCGGTATGAAGGAACGGGCACATGGTTCCTGAATTCTTCCACATTCAAGGACTGGCTGGAACATAAACACCGCCATCTTTGTCTCTATGGGGCTGGAGGTTGCGGTAAAACAGTCCTCACTTACACCATTCTTGAACATCTGCGAAAAAGTCAAAGTGGGGCAATACTGTACTTCTTTTTCGATTTCAGTGACGCTCGGAAGCGTACGTTGGATGGCTTGCTACGGTCCCTACTTTCCCAGCTGTATGCGATAGATGGGAACAGGGCAAAGAAACTCGACGCTCTACGAATGTCTCCCAAAGATGATGAAAGGTTCCCGGACACTAACAAACTCTCTGAGTGGTTGCAAGATATTCTTGAAACGTTTGACGAAGTAACCATTCTGATGGATGCGCTAGACGAATGCAAAAAAGACAACAAAGAACAGAAAAAGCTGATAGAGTGGATAGTCCAGATTGGCTCGGCAGCCAGCCTCAAACATGTCAAGATCATCACAACTGCACGGCGCGAACCTGCTTTCAGGAAATGGCTAGACCCTGAACTAGCAGATGCGAACTGTGTAGAACTCGCCAAAGACTCAATCAAGGCTGATATCGAGTCCTACGTCAAAGGATATCTAAACCTTAACGAAGGGTTTCACACTCACGCACCAGACCATCCCATAGTGAAGCAGATTCCAGACAGACTCATTCAAAAAGCTGACGGAATGTAAGCTCCCGAATTCCCGATCGTTAGGTCAATCAGAAGACTCAAAAGGAAACAGGTTCCGATATGCAGCCTGTCAAATGGACCAAATTGTCAATTGTTTTGACTCCGGCCAAATCGAGAACGCCCTCAATGTTTTGCCTGAGACACTCCATGAAACGTATAGGAGAAGCATCGAAAGAATACCAACCGAACAAAAGGTGCAAGCGATTCGCCTTCTTCGATTTCTTGTAAACCTGGACAAGCCACTCGAACTAGCAGCAGCTGTCGACATTGTGACTGTGTGGTCCGATTATCGAGCATTTGCTGCTGCCGACAGAATTTGTCCCCAGGACATCGTTAGGTTCTGCCCAAACCTTTTATCAATCGTGGACGTCCAGAAATATGCGTACCATGGGACATCCGAATCGTTTGAACTTCACCTGGCCCATCTGTCAGTGAGAGAGTATCTTGTGCAATTGGACGACCCTGCGTTCGGTGGCGTAGATGCCAGCGTAAGCATCGCACGCACTTGTCTATCGTACCTACTCGGTTTTCCTTCAGGAATTCTGCTGCATGACCACCCGATGTACGGCGAGAATTCCTGGTCGAAAGACACCAATTTTCCTTTCGGAACACTTGCTGTCGAAATGTTGAACAAACACGCTGTCACTGCTGAAGGCTCGCGAGATGGCGTCCTTGAAATGGCTGGCCAACTGCGAAAGCATCTCGAAGAATACCCCTCTGCCCCTCCTCAGTGGCGAAAAGCAAAGCGCCACGATGTCAACGCATACGCAAGCTGCCTTCATTTTGCCTGCTACTTCGGACTTCTAGGAACAACCAAAGCCTTAGCAAACCTAGGCGCAGACGTCAATTACCGACCCGAGAATACTCTGAGCCCAATTGGAATTGCGGTGCGCATGAATCGGATGGAAATTGTGCGATTTCTGCTGGACTTTGGCGTCAGTCCCGACACTACTCATAGCCAAAGCCTTTACGGGAGTGTTTTGAGGTGCTCCTGCATATTTTCCCTGCATGAGATTACGAGGCTTCTTGCAAGAAAGGGAGCAGACCTGAACAGACTAGAAGGCGATGAAAATAGGAGAGAAAGACCTCTTCAGATCGCTATTGAGCGAGTAGATGTGAAGCTCGTGCGCCTGCTACTTGACGAGGGGGCTGATGTCAATGCCGACGGTGGCTACTTGGGCATTGCTTTACAAGCAGAAGCTGGATCAGATTTCGAGTGCGACGAACATGAAGGAGACTCTTTCGGCACAAGTTTCGTCGCCAGCGAAGCCAGCCGATATGAACGCCGTACCCGCCGATATGAACGCCGTGCCCACCGATATGGATTCCCTGCGAACCGATATGGATTCCCTGCGAACCGATATGGATTCCCTGCCAACCTCCATCAAACCCAAGACTACGTAGACATTGTTGCGACATTGCTGAATAGAGGGGCAGATTCCAACGCAAGTTGCGGCTCTTTCGGCACTGTTCTACAAGCTGCTGCTCGATCAGGTGTTTATGATATTGTTTCGGTGCTTTTGCAGCATGGAGCAGACGTCAATGCCCAAGGCGGCGCTAGTGGACACGCTCTCCAGGTCGCTGTCGAACGGGGCCACGTACGTATCGTCGAACTTCTTCTGGATTGGGGCGCAGACTTGAACGCCCCAAGCGGCACTCCTGATGGAAACGCTCTTCAGACAGCCTTTCGCCTTTACGACGAGTCGGTCATTGCGGTGCTTCTGGACAGGGGAGCAGATGTCAATACTGAAAGCAGTGGTTACAGACATGCCCTGGAAGCTGCCGCTTGGAAGGGCAACGTGGGCATGGTCAAGTTTTTACTAGAGAAAGGGGCACATTCTGGTAATCAAAGTAAAGCTTGTGGACCTGCCCTCAAAGCCGCCATTGAGATTGGGGACAAATATATCATGGGGCTTTTGCTGGATAGAGGAGCACATTTCGATACCGAACACAACGTCTATGGACATGCTCTCAAAGCTGCTGCTAAGAAGGGCTACAAAGACGTCGTTAAGGTTTTGCTCGGAACAGGAGCAAACTTTGATACTGAAGGCAGCGTTTATGCATCTGCTCTCAAAGCTGCCGTGCAGGAGGGCCACGAAGAAGTCGTTGGACTTTTGCTGGAAAGAGGAACACATTCCGATATTGAGGGCAACCCGGTCTATGGATATGCTCTCAGAGCTGCCGTAAAGGAGGGTCACGAGGCAATCGTTGGGATTTTGCTGAAGAGAGGAGAAAATGCCGATATTGAGGGCGAAAACTATGATCCCTATCATTCTGCCCTCCAAGTTGCCGCTAAAGAGGGCTACAAGGATATCGTTAAGATCTTCCTGAACAAAGGAGCAGATACAGGTGGCCGCAGCCTGGAAATCGCGCTCTACGTAGCTGCTACGAGGGGGAATCGAGATCTCATCGATCTTCTACTAGAAAGCGGAGCGAATGTCAACACCCAAGGTGGTAGCCTTGAGAACGCCCTTCGTGCAGCTATTACGGGAGGTCACCATGACCTCGTCGAAATTTTGCTGCAAAGAGGAGCAGACGTCAATGCTTCACAGGGCCAGCTTGGAAACTTCTTGGCTATGGCGTGTGTGCGCGAATCACCAGAAGTAATGCGCTATCTCTTACGATATGGAGCCAACGCGACTACAAGCGTTCCAGGTTTCGGGAGCGTTCTTTATAACACTCTTTACGTGCTTATAAAGAGGCACATCTCATGGGGCGACAAACAGAGGCTTATACTCCAGATCCTTCTTGAGGCAGGCGCAGAAATACAGTCCAGCACCAGCCCCGGATATAACTCTTTACGCTTTGCTGTCGAACGTGGGGCGTTGGAGCCTGTCAGATTATTGCTCAACTACGGAGCGGACCCGAACATCTTGTATGATGCTTCTCACTACCACTCCAACCATACTCTTCTCATGGAGTGTCTTGGCAAGTCTCAGCTAGGAATCGCCCAAGAACTCCTTCAATTTGGGGCGGACCCCAACGGAAAGACGTCTCGGCGTCTGCCTGGTCAAACAGCTCTTCATCTTGCTATGAACGAAGACTTTGAAGAAATCGTGCGGCTGCTTTTGCAGAAAGGGGCGGATCCTGATCTACAAAGTGGCTTGCCTCCTTACACCCCATTGCAGCTCGCCGTTAAAAGGGGTTCGATGAAGTATGTACGCCTGTTTCTGGAGCATGGCGCAGATGTGGAAATGAAAGGCGGGCTCGGCAAAAACATCACGGCTCTCAAATTGGCAGAAAAAGCAGGGAATGCGGAGATCATTCAGTTATTGCAACAAGCGTCAACCCAGAAAATGAGTGAAAACTCACAGTAGGGAGACACTCAGAACGACGCAACTATGAACCCGCAAGAGCGTCGGGGATGATACACAAGGAAGCGGAGTTGAGGGGGGTAAATAAGAGTGGAGGGAGGCAAAGTGAAGTTGAGCGAGACACTGGGCTTTGTGATACGCGTGAACCGATTGCTCACACCTAGAGTTGCACGCTCACTATCAGTTCTGTTGATGTTTACCAAGCTGTCAATGTTCGAAGGGTTGAAATCTCCCATGGTAAGGTGCTGTCGAAGGCGCGGCAATGCCGAAAGTAGTTATAAATTAACGTCTTTTGATCTACCAATCTTCTGGCCTAGTAAAGGAATGTCACAGTTAGCACTCATGCTCAGACAGTAGCACATTGCCTGGCGCGGCAGAGGAGCAGACAGCACGGATGTGTTCCCACGATCAAGAGTGGGGCGTCTCCGGCGCCAGGGACATAGAACCACGCCGACTTTGATATCGCAGCACAGTATGGATGCTGATTTCGGGCGATACGTCCTTCTCAGATGGAAGCCTTGTGTTGGAGATGAGGCGGGAGCTACCTAATGCAACTCTACGAAGTACGTCACGACCACCACAACGTCTCAGCAGCAACGATCCGCGAGCAGGGACATATCTCGGCCGATATGTCAATCTTTGGACACAAGACCCAGTGCCATGGACCGGGGAACACTGGAAAAGCGAAGGGAAGTTGCTCGACACTAGACGAGCCCCACGTGTTTGAACTGGGGGACACTGGATGGGGGGCCGATTAGGGACATGTAACCTTTGATGGTCGTTGCGGTTGGACGTTGAAGTGTGGGGTAAGGCATGTTACGGTTGAGATACGCGGGGGTCTGGAGGGTGCAACGATGGTATCAAGATACCGATGGTAATTTTCAGAAAGAAAGAGAGCGATGAGAACTGTGTTAGCAAAGTGATGGCTTCATGGGTTGGAAGGGCCGATAATGAGGTGCGCATGACCGGATCATGAAGCAGTCAGACGGCGCCCGAGCACAACGGAGCTGGATGCGGGGCCGCGGACGGCCGGCACGGTTGGGTGCTCACTTTGACAGACGGCCCGGGGCAGTGTACCTGGACCCGGTGCGACCTGCCAGTAGCTGTCAAGCAGCGAAAAAGACAGGGACGCACTGCAGCATGGCCTTATCAGTGTAACGAGCCCACGACATCGGAGGTGAAGAATGCAACTGGCCTCCCGCTGCAGAAAAGCTTCGAGTCCCCGTCGCACCTTGATTCTTTTACTTGTGATAACCAAACTCAACCTTGATAAAGGGTCTCGTGCTGCAGATTGAAAAGATAGTAGGGAAGGTAGAGAGTAGTTGCGACGCTCCTTCCTGGTCGTCTGGAATTGAGAGAAACGTTACATGCCAGCACGGGCCACGCCGTCAGCTAGCGCCCATTGGCTGAACGCTTGTCTCTATCTTGGCTTTTTGGGGTGTTGTGCCACTTTTATTTCTCCGCACGGGGAGGAGCGGAGCACGCGCTGGACTGATGGCAGGCATGCAGCCACTCTCGCACTTGCCTGTTGTCAAATCAGACGGATAGTGACAGGAGGAGCGAAGGATGGAAGAGAAGGGAAGGCACGACACGGCATTACAATTGGCATGTCTAAAGCGTCGAAAGCCCCAGCTGAATCAGGCGTCTTACACCGCACTGGAATCCGGCTGTCCATCAGCAGGGCGCTTCGTATTTTCCCAGCAGTTAGTTGCGCCACTGTCGCAGACAGAAGAAGAGTCAGCCGCACGTTGTGTTGTGTCTCGCCCGTCGTCTGCGCCGCACAGTCAGTCCATCCCGTAGAGCCAATGGCATAGTGCCCTTCTATCCCAGATCTCGTGTCAGCATTTAACGGGATGCAGGTGATGGCGGTGGCATCTGCAATGCGGTAGTAGGTAGATGTATCGTTCGGCATTGCAATGGCACAGTGCCCAGCTTTGCCCAAGCCGAAGTCCACAAAGTTGAAGCCACCACCAAGCTTGACTTCGTCTCCCGTGGTGGTGCGGTTCGTGCTCCTTCCCCAATCGGCCGAGGCACGAGTCGCAGGGGCCAATCGCCAGCCGAAGCCAGAGGAAATGAGGAGGTCGCGCCGCCACCTCGTGATCTCGGCCCTTTGTTCTGGTGTTATCGATTGGGGTAAAGTGGAGCATATGGGGCCCTGGGTTTTCACTGTTTTCGAGGTCGTCCCCCCATCTCGTTCTCGCCGACTCCCGAGCCACAGCACACGACCACAAACCAACAGCCCCGTGATCGCCAGCAATCCTCACGTTTCACGCAAAAGACACAAACAAACGCACTCGAATTAAGATTAAAATCTTGTACGCGATACCTGGCAGCTCTCGAGTTGATCAAGGCCTGCTGCATCTGCAAATGTGGTGCGATGATTCCCGGGCAAGTCACTCACGCAGGCTGCCGGGCGCCGCAAACAGAAGCCGCCCGCCCCCATCGCCATGGCTTGGGATCGCCGCGGCGTGCCGTCCGGGACCGTTGAAGTTTGTGTCTAAAATTGGCTGACGGGCTGCGGCAACCGGATCTTTCATGCCTGGCGTCGCTTTTTTTTTGTGTGTCTGCCGAGGCGAGATGAGGTGATGATTTGCCTGCCTGCCTGCCTGGCTTTTGATGCTAAAGAACAAGTCAATCAAGCCTTTCGTCATAAACGAGTTTATCTACAGATTATCAGACGATGCGACAGAATTCGACCATATCTCCGGCCAAACAAGACCGGGAACCGTCCTTTCTTATCAAACGGCGACGTCCCGGGTCTCCATCCATATCAGTGGAACACACACCCCAGGAACGGAGGAGCCTCAAGGATGCTGTGCTTGCTGATGAACCCTGGAACTGGCCTGGGCTCCTCCCACCCATCGGCTGCTCCCCCGTTGCCCAGCACCACCACACCACCCATGTGCTTTTTTTTTGTTCCTTTTTTCAATTTCACTCTGCGCGGGCCACCATCACGACCCAACACTCGACTTGCTGTGCCATTGTTCATCTGCAAAGATTGCCATTGTCACCTTTCAAGTGATCGAGTCGGCGTCCGCCCGAGCTCTAAAAGGTGGGGGAGGCGGACACAAGGATGACTGAGGCTAGTGTGCAATTCCATCTCAATTGGAGTTGGTGCTGATGGTGATGGGTGTTCTAGTCCGTTTCGTTTCGTCTCGTTGGTGCATGTGCCCTCGCCTTCGCTGTAACCGTAGCCGTAGCCTGCCACATACCTAATCCGCATCTCCAGACGCCTACCACCATCCTTCACCAGCTTGATCTCAGCCCAGATTGCCTCCCGTCTGAGTCGCCCAGCCTTCTCCTCCAGCTGATAGGCACCAAGTCCAAGACATGGACTCTACCACACCTTTTCGCCGTCTGCCCGGTTGGTTGTGTCACTGAGGCTTGTTTGGAGGCGCGAATGTCAAGAATCCTTCAACACAACGGACAGCAGTTGCGATACCTTTTCGTTCTTTCCTATGGACATTTCGTTCCTACCACACGTCAGACGGGCACACGCGCAGCAGCGACTACCGCAGGCAGCTCCTTCTCGCTGCTACCTTACCTCACCTTGCCTTGCCTCGCAGATACCTACAGACCGGGGTAGCTCCGGCCCAGTCCTGACCGTCCATTCGGTCGGCGCTGCCTTCCTCATCCTCCACGGCTAGCTCTGCACATCTTTCCTCGGCCAGTCGTAGTTTCCATAGTCGTGCCTTCCTGCCTTTGGATGCCCTTCGTGCCTTCCCGCTGCCTACGGCGCCGGCAAAGCGAATTTCGTATCGGATTTTGTGAATCAGAGGGAAGCAGGACCCGTGCGGTCTCTGGTGATCTCTTTCCCAGCTGAGACTAACGTCTTTGCATCCCGAACAAACGTCCCCCAAAGCATCCCTTTCCCCAAATCTCCAATCACCACCACCACCACCATCCCCCAGTCTCATCCTCCTCCTCTTCCTCACCTCCCTTACCCATGCCCGTCCCATCCCTTCACTTCCCTGCCCCTCGCTACCCTACCACACGCCACGCACCGAAACCACCACCACCAAACACCCACACTCCCATCAAACCACCCCGGCTCTTCCTCCAGACCACTGACTCCACTCACGATCATCGCCCAGTGCAACTGCAACCTGCAGCCCGATAAACCGTCCCATAAAGAAGCACCGCATCCGTCCCCGGACCCCTTCTTTCAACCTCGTGGTCTCATTCTCCTCCCTTCCCCTTCTCCCCCCCAATTGCGCGCCTAATCTGCGCCCTGCGCCCAGCCGAGCCGTCATCGTCCGGTCACGATTGAGTTTGCAACCTCCGACAATTCTCAGTCACAACAAGCGCCCCGGCTCACACCACTGCCGACCGCATTTCAACTGCCGAGGCGCGACGCGCTTGTCGAACGAACTTCACTTCGCTTCAATTGACCTCACCTCACTCACTTATCCTCAGACATCACCAAGCCGCAACCATGTCTACAGAAGAGAAACTCCAACCCGAGTCCGCCACCACTCCGGGCGACACAGTGCACTCCACCACCCCCGATGTCGACGGCCCCGCCCCGCGCCCGGCCGGCTGGATGTACAAGGGCTTCCGCGTCCGTGGCCATGAGCTGTGGTACGCTTCCCCGCGCATCCAGCTGTTCATGGTGTCCTTCATCTGCTTCCTGTGCCCCGGCATGTTTAACGCCCTGACCGGTCTCGGCGGCGGTGGTCAAGTCGACACAAAGGCCCAGACCGACGCCAACACCGCTCTCAACTCCACCTTCGCTGTCGTCGCTTTCTTCGCCGGCACTGTCGCCAACCGTCTCGGCCTGCGTCTCACCCTTGCTCTCGGAGGCTTGGGATACTGCATCTACGCTGCGTCCTTCCTGTGCTACTCCCACACCCAGAACCGCGGCTTTGTCATCTTCTCCGGCGCCTTCCTCGGTGTCTGTGCCGGTCTTCTGTGGACCGGACAGGGCGCCATCATGATGTCCTACCCCACCGAGAAGGAGAAGGGCCGCTACATCTCATGGTTCTGGATGATCTTCAACCTCG